TCAATTAAGATGAGTTTACTCAACATGCCCTTCCCCTGAAATCAACCACAGGTAGCAGTCTGAAGGAACTAAGAGCATTGAGAACCACACATATAAGAAACATTTTTTAAAACTAAAAAAAAAATCACTGAATATACTAAACCAAACTAAAACTGTTTGATGTGATGGAATTCTTCCATGGCTGTATTCTAGAATCATAGACACAACAGGAGTTAGAATTCTCTACCCGTCAGCAGTACCATTTCCCAGAACTCACACAGGCACAAAGTTGGATTCACAGAGACGAGGTAACGTCAGGGGGAAGATGGCCTATGAACTGCAACCACAACTTCAAGTTCTTACCTCGTGAATGTTTCACCGCCTGCAGTCCTTCAAGGCAAACAGCTCATCTCATCAGAAGATGGTGCAGTGTCGGCAGATCTCCCTAGATGTAGACCGTATGTGGAAGAGACTTTGGGGATTCAGGCATCTAATGAAGTTGGCTTTTCCCGTTTATGCCTTGTTTGTATTTTTCCCTGTCTAATACACTAAGGACACTTACTCATTAAACTTGCAGCTCAATGTGTCTTTGCTGTTCAGATACTAAAATGTACCTGAGTCATCATGAGCCATGTGGTAAGTTGAACATTGGCATAGTTAGGTGATGGGACTCAAAGTGAGAAGCTGGTCTCTTTACCAGGTCACAGACTGGGGTAGCAGATTGTGCTGGTCATGTGACAGTGATGGACAAAGGTCACTGATTTGCATGCACTACTCTGGGGCCTTGTATTGAAACCTTTTTAAAAAAATAAAATAACGAATGTTAGTGGTTGGGGATGTGTGTTTGTGTCTGTGCGTGTGTGTTGCAAGTGAGAATCACCAGGTAACATCCCTCCTCTTTCTTAATGACCATCTGAGTTGCTCCTGTGTTTAACTGGTTAAGGTCTTCAGACAGAGTCAAGGTCACTGGGCTCTTAAGAGGACAAATGTGGGTTCCAGTTCTGCTCTTATCCCCAGTTATTCCTGCAGTGTTGATTAAATGAACCATTTTACACAAGCATAGTGTAAAATCCTTTACAATCCTGTCACCCTCATTTGACAGTGGAAAAAACTGAAGCCCAGAGAGGATGAGGAACCTTATGGCTGTCATTGTGCCAGGCACTGTGCTGCGTTTCACACATTCCTCATAATAGCTCTACCAGCAAGCCTGTAAGTTAGTTACATAAGTATTCATCTGAGACTTGAAGAAGCAGATTAAGAAAGGTTAGCCTGGCTGGGGTCACACAGCCAGTAAGTGGTGGGATGAGGATTTAAAGCCTGGTCTGCCTGACTCATTTTGCCCTAAGTAGCAAGGTGGTTTGACGTGGGTCAGGCATGGTGGGAGTGCCCAAGCACTGTGTGTGACCCAGAGGTGGCAGGAACGGGCAGTGGGAGAAGAGGCTGGGAGCTGCTGAGTGAGTTTCTGATACTGACATCACTTGGGCCTTTGAAGCTGAGACCTCCCCAGGACCTATGTAGACTGATAAACCAGGAGGAGCTAATACTGCTTAGTGCCCACTGTGGGCCAGACAGAATGCTAAGTATTATACATGGATTACCACATTTAATCCTCCCAACGACCCCAGTTTGCAGATGAAAAAATAAGTGTGGTGTGAGGTTAAGCAGGCTCAGGGTTACACCACTGGGATTCCAGCCCAGATCTGTCTGACTCCAAAACCCGTGCTTCCCTGTCCTACTTCATATATGGACACTCATGTTTCTAACATGGGATGGAATATTTCATCCACAGGAAGCACCTTCTGTGGACTTGAATATCGAAAGCTCTTCTGCCTAAAACGCATCAGTAGTCTAGCACGATTTAAAAAAATACTTCAGAAAGGACTTCTGGTCTTAGCTCAGGCATGCAAAGAGTTTGGAAGTTGTCACTTCTGTACTTAGAAAGTAAAAGCTGGACAAACTGAAAATCAGTAAATTTTCTTGAACCCATCAGAGAACTGAGATTGCAGGGCAACTGCCACCATAAAATCTGGAGAGGCTTCCAGAGACTCACAACTGAGATCTGCTTACCAGGAGCAGAAGGCCTGGAGCCACAGCTGGTAGGAACACTTCTGATGAATTCCTGGAGGCTGTTTGGACTAGCACAAGTGTGAGAAACTCCTGGGGGCCACAACCCAAGGAAGACCACACACTTTCATGGGTTTTTGCTCCAGGAACCCCACCTGGTTTTCACAGCTCAGAGCTGAGAAACATCCCCTGATGGCCTGTGGCAGGGGAAGGAGAAGAGTAATCGTTGTAAAATAAACTTGGGTCATTCTCTGTAACAGAGGCCTATTTCCCAGGGGAAAAGACCTCACGAGAGTCTAATACCACCTGGGAGAAGGGCATTTCTCCCACTCCAGCCCCCTCTAGCCTTCCTGTCTCATCGAAGTGTGGGGGAGGGTAAAAGAAAACTTATTTTTCTATACACTCCACTACTCACACACATCTGACACTAAATGTGTGGATTTTTTTCCCCACACCAACCAATTCTTCAACGCCAGCTGAGTGTCCTGCAATTCAGTTCAATTCTGACAGCATCCCTGGAGTGAGCATCAGGTCCCACACATTAAGGGCTCAATCCCAAAGACTGCCCCCTCTTCGATGCCAGTCACAACAGCGGGTCTCTGGTACTGCTGACTGACTGGCTATAAATTGAGGGTTCCCATAACCCTTTTCTTAGGATTGATAATTTGCTATAACAGTTCATAGAACTCAGGAAAACAGCTTACTGGATTATTGATTTATTGTAAAAGAATACAACTTAGGAACAGCCAGAAGAAGAGATGCATAGGGCAAGGTATGGGGGAAGGGGTGCAGGGCTTCCATGCCACCTCTGGGCACAGCATTCTCCCAGCACCTTGATGTGTTCACTAACCCAGAAGGCTGCTCTGGCCAGCAGCCAGGAACAAAAACCAAATATATATTTCTTATTATATCACAACATCACAGAAGAGGATTGAGAAACACTTACGAAGGTCACAGCCCAGGGACACAGGCCCACTAAAATACTGAAATTTCATCATAACATTATAAAATGCTTCCCCTCTCCCACACCATACCACCACACTATCAGGGCCCAGTACAACAGTGGGTTATGGATGAAAGAGCTACAAAATATAGACTCTCTGAGAAGGAATATCTAGGGAAGCTCAAAGTCAGGAGAGAACGAAACAAAGAGTAAAGGCATTTGAAGCCTCTGGCACCTACAGCTATAGCAAACTTTACACACAGCTCGACTCCTAGCCAGATTAGCATAAATCCTTATACTAGAGGCTTATTTACCTCAGTTCCTATTATCCAACACACCTGATTATTGTTTGACCTTCAACAAAAAATTATAAGCATGCTAAAAGGCAAGAAAAAAACAGTCTGATGAGACAAAGCACGCATCAGAACCAGACTCAGATTTGACACAAATGTTGGAATTATCAGATGGGAAATTTAAAATAACTGATTAATATGTTAAGGAAGCCAATGGTAGAAGTAAATAATATTCGAGAATAGATGGGTAATGCAAGGTGAGATAAAGAACCTCTAAGAAATAGTTAAAAAAAAAAAAAAAAGATAAAAAAACTCCACACTGTAACAAATAAAGAATGCCTTGGTGGGCTCATCAGTAAACTGGATACAGCTGAGGAAATCAATGAGCTTGGAGATAGGTCAATAGAAACTTTCCCACTGAAGTGCAAAGGGAAGAAAGAATTTTAAAAAAAGAATAGAACATCCAAGAACTATGGGACAATTTCAAAAAATGTAAAGTATATGTAATTGGAATACCAGAAGGAGAAAAAAAAAGAATGAAGAAGAAATATTTGAAGTAATGGCCAAGAACGTTCCAAAATTAATGACAGTCACCAAACTGCAGATCCAGGAAGCTCTGAAAACACCAAGCAGGATAAATACCAAAAATCTACACCTAGGGATATCTTATTCAAACTCCATAAACCAAAGAAGAAGAGAAAATCTTGCAAGAAGCCAGAAGAAAAAAAACTCTCTTACCTATAGAGAAACAAATATTAGAATTATAACTGACTACTGGTCAGAAACCATGCAAGAAGACGGTGGAGTGAAAAATTTAAAGTGTTAAAAGAAAATCCTCCACCAACCTAGAGTTCTATATCTGGCAAGATTATTCTTGAAAAGTGAAGGAGAAATAAAAACGTTCTCAGATCAATAAGAGCACTTTAGAACTGCATCTCATTCACTTTTGCTTATGAAAACATCGAGGTCCAAAGCTAAGTGCCTGAACTAGGAAGGAGTAAGTCCCAAACTTTTCTTTTTCCTTTTGCAAATCATTTTTTTTTTAAAGTCAGTGTTAAAAATTGCGCAGTCTGGGGGCTGGCCTGGTGGGGCAGCGGTTAAGTTCGCAAGTTCTGCTTGGTGGCCCCGGGTTGGCTGATTCTGATCCTGCCGGGGACGTGGCACTGCTTGGCAGGCCATGCTGTAGCAGGCGTCCCACATATAAAGTAGAGGAAGATGGGCATGGATGTTAGCTCAGGGCCAGTCTTCCTCAGCAAAAAGCGGAGGATTGGCAGCAGTTAGCTCAGGACTGATCTTCCTCAAAAATAAATAAATAAATAAATAAATAAATAAATAAATAAATAAATAAATAAATAAAAATTGCGCAGTCTGAGTCCTTCATTTTGAAACTGGAGAAGTTGAGAGAGAAAAACTGACTTATTTGAGGTGGAATAGCAAGTTACTAGCCGACTTAGTATCCCAACTCAGCTCTCTTGATTTATTTCTTAGTGTAATTTTGTTGTCAGAATGATTGAGCTAGAGTCTATTTAAAAATATTTTCCCTGGCGGCGAGGCGGGTACTAAGTTACAAAGCATGAAAATCTAAACGTCCCAGGAGGAGGGTGTTCCAAAAGCAAGGTGTACATACCCGCTCCCCCAACAACAATGCTCCGCCAGCCAGGACTACAACTCCCAGGCTGCCCCGCGGCGTGCGCTGCCCGCCGGGAGACGGCTCCTGTGAGTCTGCGCGGGAAGTGGAAACCCACGCAGAGAAGTGGCCGCGCGAGGTCCGCTGGCGCGGCAGCGGCGGCTGCTCTGGTCTCTTCGCTGCTCGGGCTGCGGCCCGCCCTGTCCGCCGCCGCCATGCCCATGAAGGGCCGTTTCCCTATCCGCCGCACGCTGCAGTACCTGGGCCAGGGGGACGTGGTGTTCAAGGACTCAGTGAAGGTTATGACGGTGAACTACAACACGCACGGGGAGCTGGGCGAGGGCGCCAGGTCAGTCCGAGCCCTGCGACGCCGACGGCCGTGGTGGCGTGCTAGTCCCGGGGAGACTGGAGCGGCCCCCTGAGCCTGCGGCCGTCCCCCCATTCTGCGGATGAGCAGACAGGAGCAGCTTGCTCCGGGCCCACAGCGAGAAGAGGACGGCAGGGCCAGGCTTGCCGGCTGCAGGCGTGACGGGGGACGCGGAGGACGAGGCTTCCCTCCGGGCGGCAGCGCTGGCGCGGGGCGGCCGCAGCCTCCTTCCCACCCGGCGCCGGCGGGAGGGCGTGCTCAGGGGCGACGGCGCCGGGTGGGCCCCGCTCTCAGCCCGCCGGTTTTGTGCGCTGGTTTGGGCGAGTTGCTCCTCCTCGGCGTCCCGACCGGGGTGATGCCTGTCGCAGGGCCCGTGTGGGGACGCGGTGAGAGGCGTCGCGGGCGCTGGCGCTTCCCGAGCCGGCCCTGCACGTCCAGCACGGTTCTGGATGCCTCTGGCGCGGGTCTCGTTTGATCTTTACGGAAACCATTGCTGTCCCCACTCTAGGGAGGGGGAAAAGGTGCGAGGTTAAGTTAACTTGCTTCCCCAGGTACCACAGCTATCGAGCGAGCGAGTGGTAGCTCGGAAAGTGCTTCTCTCTCTTTTTTTTTTTTTGAGGAAGATTGGCCCTGAGCTAACACCCATGCCCATCTTCCTCTACTTGTTGGCGTGGCTTGATGAGCGGTGCTAGGTCTGCGCCGCGGATCCGAACCCCCGAACCTGCGAACCCGGGCTGCGAAGCGGGGCGCGCGAACTTAACCGCTCCGCGGGCCGGCCCCTGGAAGGGCTTCTTTTGCAGGGCTCCTCACCGTCGTGATCGGGTCAGCGGGCTCCTCCGCCACCCCCACCGCCCCAGACTCCATAATGCTGTTTTCAGCCTGGAGCAGAGACTCACTGAGCCGAAGCTGGCGAGAGAAAGGTTTGGATTGAACCTTAAGGCAACAGCAGTGCTTGGGGCTTTGCTGGTGTTCAGTATAAATTTGTCGAGTGCCTGCTGAATGCTAGGCCACGTGCGGCGTGCTGGGAATTCTGCAGGGACCAAGGAAAAGGTCCCGTCCTTCAGAAGCTTCAGGGTTGGGTGTGGGATGGATCAGCACGGTCGGGGAGAGCATCTCCCTGGGGAGGCCCCCTCCCTGTGAGGGGCCTTGACTGCACCGCGCCTCCTAGTCATTTGCTGTCCCCTGGTGACTGGAGAACTTGGACCTGCTTGAGCTGGGATGAGGGCTTCCTGGAAGACTGGGTGTCACACGTGAATGGGCGCCCGGATGCTGCCTCATAACCCAGTGTGCATCCATCCGTCCACACTAGGAGTCAGGGCAGAGGCCAGGCCATGCCCGAAGCAGGGAGGCGACCTGGATGGACCTGTGAACTGGAAAGCGTGCCCTGTGTCAAGGGGTCATTAGCTGCCTGGCTCCAGCTTAGCTCCATGTGGGCTGTGTGGAGCATTTCTGATTTGTCCGGCAGCCAGAAATTTAGATTTTTATGTAGATGTCTGGTTTTCACATGGTCAGCCAATCAGAATAAGCCTGTAGGCACTGTACTCAAGTATTTTAATACCTTTTAGGTAAACAGGATCCAAACAGCCATTCTGTGTTTCCTTGTTCCTAGTGATAAGGCCTTGCCTGTCCCGCCTGTGCCCTTTGTGATTTCGCGCCCCTGCCTGACTTGCTTTTTCTAGCCCCCAGGCCTTTGCTTGTTCCTGTGCCCTCAGCAGTTCAGCTGTCCCCACCTGGACCTTGCTCCAAGTGCCAGTGGCCAGTGCTACAGCCCTGGGCTAGCCATCGTCTTGGGGTGTCTGCCGGGTATGTTGGGAGCTGCTTTGTTCAGTGTCTGAGGGCTAAGTCTCTGTTGACCTCTGCCAGGCGCTCTTGGCTTTAAGATGCAGTGACAGCAGTGACAGCTGTTAGCGTTTATTGAGTTCTTCCTGTGTGTGCAGCCCTGAGCCCCAGGATCTAGGTGAATTTGATAATTTGATAGTCACAGAACCCTATCTGTGGAAGAAGTCCAGATGCTAATCACGGCCCTGGTTCTTTCACTTACTAGTTGTGCTCCTAGTTGTGTGTTACTTAGCTTTTTTGACCTCAGCTTCCTTAGTCATAAAACCCTACCTTTCAGGGTCACTGAGGATTCGAGTATAAAGTGCCGAGTGAAGTGCCTTTCACATACAGCAGGTGCTCAACTAAAGTTTCCACAGTTACTGACTTTCCTCCCATGCTTCAGCAAGAACCATTTAAAAGTCCCTGTTGAATTTTTGTCCTAATAGTTTTAGGTGTGGGAAAGTCCTGCACGGATATGCCCTGGTTTGTTTGCACGGAGTTCTGGGATACTCTGCTGTGGGGTGGGAGTTGAGCGGAAGTGTCCTAAGCCCAGGAAGGTAAACTCAGCCTTTGTGCTGTTGTGGCCTGCGAGGCTTCTAGAAGTACCCTAACTCCGCTTCCTCCCCCAGAGGCAACAACTTTCCACACTAACCATTTAATTAGTGTTACCTCCCTATAGTTAAATTCCATCCTTAGAGAGCTGCTTCTTACTTGTTTAGCTTTAGGCATTATCTGTTGACTTGCCACTATGCAAAATGAGCATCTGGCTTTTTGCCCACCATGGCCATTCCCCGGCCCCCAACACGTGCATAGCACTGCACCCGCCATTCTCCCAATACAGTCCTTTCAGAATTTTGGATAGAACAATATTCACTGTTTAAATGTGACTTTTAAAACACTGTACGCAGTTGAGCCAAATAGAGTACTGTGACTGCTTTTCCTTTTTTGTTTTTGCAAAGCTTTTTTTCTCTAGAGTTAATAATTATTGTGGCTTTTGTTTTGTTTCAACTGCAGATAGATTTCATCTGCTTTTGTTTCTTTCAATTATGGAAGTCTCCCCAAATAAATGGTCACACAGTCAGGCTTTCTGTTGATTTATCAATTTCATCTTCTTGAAAATAGACTACAAGCTCCCATCTGGAGTGGTGGTTCTGCATCATAATCATCTTGGCATAAACACTGAGGCACAGAGCAGTAACTTGCCCTGGGTCATACAGCTGGGAAGTTGGTCAAGCCAGGTGACTATGTTTCTGTCCCATGTACCACTTGCACCTTCTGTCGTCTGGTGTATGCAGCAGGAAGCAGAGGGTGCATTTAAATTCAGATCATTTGAGGAGCCTTTAATTAAGGAACTGTTTACAGAGGTGTGGGCAAGAAGCCACAAGGAGCAGTGCAAGACCCCAGGTCTGGGCTTGCAGGAGTGAGGGGGAGAATGATTATTGGAACCTGCAGACAGACAGGCTGCCTGACAGGAGCCCACAGGGCTGGGACTCAGGCAGGGGCTAAGCCAGGGAAATAAATACCTTGACTACCTCCCTCCTAGTCTTTTGCCTATGCTTCCCATTGGCCCAATGCAACATGAAGCCAGGGGGCAAGGAAGCTCATTTCTTAGTCCATATAGGTTAGCCATTCAGGACGGAGAGCGAGTGGAAAGGGATCCAGACATCCAGTGGTGTCCTCTAGTGAGGGACGTGTGAGTCATTTCTGTCCTTTGCTGTAACAAATACTGCTGCAGTGAACCTCACACATCTTTGCGTTCAAATGTGAACATATCTAAAAGCAGAAGCAAAATCACTGAGTCAAGATACATGCTTTTGTTTTTACTTTTTTTAAGATTGGCACCTGAGCTAACGTCTGTTGCTAATCTTTTTTTTTCTTCTTCTTCTCCCCAAAGACCCCCCAGTACATAGCTGTATATTCTAGTTGCGGGTTCTTCTGGCTGTGCTCTGTGGGACACCGCCTCAACATGGCTTGATGAGTGGTGTCATGTCCGTGCCCAGGATCTGAACTGGTGAAACCCTGGGCCACTGAAGCTGAGCGCACGAACTTACATCACTCAGCCATGGAGCTGGCCCTAAGATCTATACTTTTAAAATTTTGCTAGTTCCAAATTGACCTACAAAGAAGTTAAACCAATTTATATTCTTTTATTTATTTTTTTGAGGAAGATTAGCTCTGAGCTAACTGCTGCCAGTCCTCCTCTTTTTGCTGAGGAAGACTGGCCCTGAGCTAACATCCATGTGCATTTTCCTCTATTTTATACGTGGGACGCCTACCACAGCATGGCTTTTGCCAAGCAGTGCCATGTCCGCGCCCGGGATCCAAACCAGTAAACCCTGGGCCGCTGAAGCAGAACATGCGAACTTAACCACTGTGCTGGCCCCCCAATTTATATTCTTAAGGAAATGTTTCCTCACTTCTATAGCTTTTTTATCTTTAAATTTTTATTTTTTCTGCCCTCAACGAACTGATAATTTACTGAGAAAATAAAAAAGAAAAGAATTAAAATATGTAGTGTTTTAGATCGTGAAAACCCTGAATTTAACTCTAAACAGAAGGAGGCAAGGCATTCAAAACATTTCTTCCAGTATCTTTATAGGGCGTGCTGGATGGTTCTTGCTGGAGACATGAAGTAGGTACTGTTATTATGTTACAGATGAGAAGTTAGACTCAGATGAAATACCTGCTAGAGAACACTCAACTAGTCGGAGTTAGCGGTGATGCAGCATTTAACCCCAGGTGTTTGAGAGCAGAGCCTAAGCTGGACCATATTTGTGTTATATCAAACTCAGTATTTCCTCATTTAGGGTAAATTTGAACTGTCTCAGGAAACAGATCCATACAGGGCAAGGAAGAACAACAGATCTTAAGAATTGTGAAGACATTTTGCTTATGTCTATAGGATGTGAAATAGTCTATTGCGATGGTGGGAGAATCATTATTCAAGCTATGGAAAGTAGTTGTGTATCAACATGACCTGTCCAATTCAAAGATATGCTTTCTTCCCAGATGGCAGATCTGTAATAATATAAAAATCTAACTTGTGCCCTTTCCTGGGATCTCAAGTAAAATGTATCTTCTTGAGACTGTTTCTGACATTTCTCTGCCTTCAGACAACAATCAGTCATTTCTTTATCCTGTGTAATAAAAGTAATTGCAGTTCTTGAGAAATGCATAGATATAATATTTTTCTAATGTAATCATTGACTTACATATCTAGTAAATTGAGCACTCCATTTGAATAATAACAGTGTCTAATTTCCCTTGTCATATATACAGTTTAGCATAGTAATCTTAATATAAATGCTCAGTAGAAATTTGTAGAATGAGTCAATGTAATAACAAGTTTTCTAGTTAAGAAAATAAGTGATAAGAAAATATCAAATATCACTACAAAATTCTGATAAGAACCAGAAAGTGCTGAGGATAAATGTTGGGCTTTTTTTGTGTATGTGTGTGTGAGGAAGATTGGCCCTGAGCCAACATCTGTGCCAATCTTCCTCTATTTTGTATGTGGCTTGATGAGTGGTATGTAGCTCCGCACCTGGGATCCCAACTTGTGAACCCTGGGCTGCCAAAGCAGGGTGTGCAAACTTAACCACCATGCCCTCAGGCTGGCCCATGAACTTTGGGCTTTAATTTCTTGTTTTCATGTGAAGCTGAGGTTTGACAAAGTTTTAAAGGTAAAGTGATCACCAGGATTTGGTTTTCTGGTACATAGTTTAATATGGAATACATGGATTCTGCCCTAGGGCCAGATGACTCTTGTGAAGATTTTAAACATGTATTTTCCTTGAGTTTTATTAATTTCATGACAAGGAATTTAAGCTTAGAAGGAGTTGGGGAGAAAAAGAGTCTGATATGTCTCATATTGGTAGAATGCAAGAATCTTGTCTGTCAAGGGATACAGAAAATCAGCAGAAGGAAGTCTCAGTAGTTCCTGGGAGAAAGTATTGTAAAGTGTATCAGGAGTCATGGTCATGACTTTGGATGGCACAACATATGGGTCAGAGACAACATGAACTCGAGATTCAAATCTAAGTAGAAAAATACAATCATATGGGGAACTCTAAGTCCTGAGATCTAAAATATGGGTGTGTACGTTGTTCAAAAGCAACATGTCTGAAAGAAAATGTGCCAGTTATTGATAGCCACGTACACCTAAGACTGTAAGCATGATAGAGTACGTGTGAATGAAGCAGAGGGAAATGAAGAGACAAGTGAAGAAATGAGCTGGGAAAAGATAGAGACACAGAAGGAGAGGGAAAGGAGGGAGAGACTGCAGGAGAAAGAGGGAGAGAGGCACAGGGAGAAAGAGAGGGGAGGGGAGAGAGACTAAAGCTATTCTAATCAGATGGGAAAGGATGGATGATAGGAACAGATGATGTGTCTCCAGTAACAGATTGTGAAATGGAAGGCTTTATTTTAAAAGATATGTTTGAATGAGTTCCTCTATTAAAGTAAAAATTGCAATTATCCTCAAGTAAGTATCTGGAGTGGATATTTGAAAAAGAGATTGGAATTTTTGTGGTCTTAGAGGATAAAACTGGGATAGGTGGATGGAAGGTATAAGACGAGAGATTTTTTCTCAATTTGCTACAGTCATTTACAGTTTTGAGCTCTTCAGAAACAGCCTATAATGTGTCATGAGATAGTATTTTCCTACCACTAGAAGTTGGAAGAAGAAATTGTCTCTTTTTCCTGAATGTTGGGGAAGAAATGCATACATTTATCAGGAGGTTGTTTTAGATGTCTCTAAGATCACTTACAGCCCATGAATTTATTTAACACCTTACTAAGCCAAAGACATTTCACATGGCTTTCTCAGATCTCTTTATCTCGGATATTATCATTCATGTACCGCCTCCCCACCCCGAACAAGGTCCCTTCTGCATGTCAGCACTTTCTTCTCCATCTGTGCTCCTCATTCCTCTTCATCTCCCCTGTTGCTCCTCGATCTATCCCTGTCACCTCCTTCTGATTCACCTAAAAATGTACTGGCTTCCATTGCCTTTTAAAACATTCTCTGAGATTGGTCACTACCTCAGACTAGCATGTCATTTCTCTCCCGCTTCACCAACTACCCTCACTTCTTCCCACATCCATGCTGCTCACTTACTCCAACTCTTTGCAGTTTTGCTTTTGTCTCAGAAGTAAGTGAAATCCGTTTTCCTAAGTCACAAATGACCTATTAATTTCAGTTTTATAATGTTTTATTAAGATGTGACAGGGAAGAAGATTCAGTATAATATTGGGAAGAGATTTTTAAGATTTAAGTAAATTCAGACATAGAATTGGTTGCATCATGAGGCAGTGATTTTCCAGTCACTGGTGGTCTGGTAATGTACCACAGCTCCCTTCCCTAATTTATCTGCTTATGGTAAGAGTTCTCCCTGCCGTGCTTTCTGGATGAGGAAGGCAAGCAGCATGAACTCTTTGTTGCTAAGGCGAGCATAATATAATGTACTGGAAAGATCTGGAGGGCTTGTAGAATCCTAGGAGTCCTGATACTGGTTAGGAGCTCAGGTGATTGGGGAGTGTGAAGCACAGAACTGTGCTACTCAGAACAGGTGCATCAGACCCTGCTCCTCAGATTGATACTTTTCCTTTGGTTTGAGCAACACTATGTCAGGATCCAGTTTTTTGCCAGATATAGAGGTACCAGAATCTGACTCCTTCCTTTTGCCATTTTTATTTTTTTTTGCTCACCTTGGAAGGATGCTTGGGAACCAAGTCTTTATTTTGAAAACTGGTAAATAAAGAGAAAAACTCAAGAATTTATCTTATGTTTCCCATGAATATACCCCTGGGCAGCCAAATAACTGATGAGGGGAAGTTTGTCTTTGTAGAAGCATTTCAACAATAAATGAAGAAGGGATAGTAGAGTTGGAATATCGTCACTTTCCAAGCCCTGAGGAACTGGGCCCCAATGGCTGCCGGCAACACAAAAAGAGAGCCACCCGGATACTGTGTGCTTCTCGATGAAGACGACAGCACCTACCAGGGAGTCTTCCTCCCCCAAAGTCAAATCTGACTCGGATAAAGCCTCTAGATTCAACTGTCAGTTTGCAGGAAGTAGAGAGGGCAGGGGGTAATGATAGATAAACTACATTACAAGGCTGCAGTCAACAGGATCCTGACTCTGGGAAACTCTGTAGCACAAATGATTCAGTTTCTTCAACAATAAATTGCAAGGGGAGAAAAGAAGTTACAGGGAAACCTATAGATTTAGAGACCTAAAAGACATATTCCATAAAAAACCCCCAGTAAAACTGTATTGTTCAGGGATGCATAGTTAGATGATAAAACTGCAAATAAAAGAAGGTAACAATGCATACAAAAGGACAGTGCAGCATGGGGACTGCACTTAGTAATGCCTTATTATATATTTGAAAGTTGCTATCTTAAAAGTTCTCATCACAAGAAAAAGACTTGTAACTGTGAGGTGATGGATGTTAACGAGACTTATTGTGGTGATCATTTCACAATATATACAAATATCAAATTGTCATATCATACACTTGAAACTAATTAAATGTTATGTGTCAATTATATCTCGAAAAGGAAAAAGTTAAAAGTCAGGACAGTGGTTATTCTTTGTGGTGAGGGGGAGGCTTTGTATTTGAGATGGGCATAGGAATGGCTTCTGGAGTGACTGGCAGGGTACTGTCTTTTTTCATGGAGCGTGAACTTTTTATAAATAACCTTAAACTCTTCAGCGATCTAAGAGGTGAAAAAGAATCATTTTGATTTATATGACTTTATTGGGAAGATATTGAGAATCTCCCTGTGATGACAGGTCATTTGGGTTTCTGTCTGTTTGTGGCCTTTGTCTTTTGTTGTTATTGAATATACATCTTATTATTGATGTGTAAAACTCTATATCAAGGGAAGTAGCATTTTGTTTTATGTTTTGCAAATATTTTCCTTTTGGTTTGGCCAGTGTTGATTTTGTTTTGGGTAAATTTTGCCATGCTGTTGTTTTAATGTAGTCACATTTATCTGTATTTTTTTTTTTTCGAGGAAAATTAGCCCTGGGCTAACATCTGCTGCCAATCCTCTTTTTTTTTTTTTTTCTGAGGAAGACTGGCCCTGAGCTAACATCCATGCCCGTCTTCCTCCACTTTATATGTGGGACGCCTGCCACAGCATGGCTTGATGAGCAGTGCATAGGTCTGCACCCGGGATCCCAACCGGTGAACCCCAGGCCGCTGAAGCAGAACATGAGAACTTAACTGCTGTGCCACTGGGCTGGCCCCCACGTTTATCTGTATTTTAAACCTTCTAATTTTAAAGGTTTTCCTATTCCTAGATTGTAAAAATATTTCCCATGTTTGTTTTCATGGTTTCATTCATTTTTAAATTGTGGTATAATCTACATAAAGTGTACACATGTAAGTATACAGCTTGATGAACTTCCACATATGAATACACCCCTGTAATCACCACACACATCAAGATGTAGGACATTTTGTAGTTTCGTTTTTACATTTATACTTCTCCTTTGGCGAGTTCTGGGTTAGTGCGCAATGTGAGGTAGGGATACAGATTTCTCTTCCTTCAAGTGACAAACCGGGAGTCCCAACACTCTCTGTTCAGAGAATTCATTAATAGATTCCTGAGAGCTGCTTTTCTAAGCCTTTTGGGTGGCAAGGTCCCCTGAGAATCTGATGAAAGTTCTAGACGTTCTCTCTAGAAGAGCACACAGGTAAACAAAATTTTACATTAAAAACTCTATTTCACAGGTTTAATTTCTTCCTTTTTCAGGAAATTTGTGTTTTTCAACATACCTCAGATTCAATACAAAAACCCTTGGGTGCAGATCATGATGTTTAAGAACATGACACCGTCACCCTTCCTGCGATTCTACCTAGGTGAGTGCGGGACCTCTCTGCTGTAGGCCAGGACTGTCTTTCCTCCGTCCATTCCTCTAACTGTAGCCATCAGGGTGACCTGAGATTCAGGCTCTTGGAAACTTCCAGAGGTCCCATCACTGGTGCACAGTGCCCCCTGAGATCTGGACTTCTCTTCCCCCAGCCTCATCTCCTGTTGCCCCTGTATGCCGTACATGCCTCACACTGCATGGGCTAGTTGTTCCAAATTCCCTTGCCACACCATGCTCTGATGCCCTTGCTCCTGCTGGTTCCTCTGCTGGAAATTCCCTTTCTACCTTTCTTAGCTTATTTAATTGTTTTTAAATCCTTCAAGACTCAGCGTGGGCACCACTCTCCCAGGAAGCCTTCTCTGCTCCCCTAGAGTGGCCCTTCCCTGTGTCCCGAAGCTCGTCTCTCTCAGTGCTGGCCACATTCTCTGAAACAGTGTATGTGTCTCTGTGTCCTCTTTGGGCCATGTACGCTTACATGGCCGCGCTGCTTTCCTGCCCCCTTGAGGTGCTAAAGTGAATGTTTATTCAGTTAAGTTGGGCTCGGTGCTTAGAAATGAGAAGACCAGACGTTTTGGCCCAGGCCTCTACTCTCTCATTCTGACCGTGAGCCAGTAACCTTGCCATTGCTGCATTTCTCAAGTGAAGGCAGAATGTCTACCCTGCACAGTTAGGAGAGTCAAAAGAAGTGTAGATTGGGAAACACCTCAGGACACAAATGATGTTCTTTCATTCAATCAGCAGATTTGTACAGAGCCTGCTAGGAGCTGGGCACTGTTCTGGGTGCTGGGGTGTCAGGGAGCCACACCACAAAGCTCTGTGCCCTTGTAGAGATGCCATGATAGTCTAGCAGGAGCAGACAGAATGAACAAGAAACTTAACAAGATGGTATGTTAGAAGGTAAGTGCAATGAAGAAAAAGGGAGAATAGAGCAAGGGAGGTGAAGACAGTGGTGGTGTGTGGCAATTTTGGATATGTATTTTGTGTTTGCATTTTAAAAAATTAACTTTATTGAGGTGTGATTTACCTGTAATGAATGCAAGGGTCTAATGTGCATTGATTGAGTTCTGACGACTTTCCCAGTGAAGACCCAGGACATTTCTAGTACTCCAGAAAGTTCTCTAGAGGTGCTTTCCAGTTAATTCCTGCTTCCACCAGAGGCAACCACTATTGCCTCTTTCACCATAGATTAGTTTTATTTGTTTCAGAACTTGATATAAATCGAATCTCACAGTACATGTTCTTTTGTGTCTGGCTTTTACTCATCATGTCTTTGAGACTTATCTGTGTTATGTGTATCAGTAGTTTATTCATTTTTATTGCTGAGTAGTATTCCATTACTGTAATATACCACAGTTTATTTGTCCATTCACCTGTTGGTGAACATTTGGGTTTTTGTTAGATGCCAAGGCGGAGTTAGAAGTATGAGATTTCTTGGAGCTAAGGGGAGAGGGAGGAGAAGTGGGCAGGGAGTCTTCAGGTGGCCCAACAGGTTTGACATCTCCGAAAGGAGAGGAGAGGGAAGGGAAGCAGGTCTGGAAGGAGGTACCTCAGATGTGATGCAGGTCTCAGAAAGTCTGGGCCAACCGAGCGGAAGGTTCTAGTGCTGTGTTGGGCAGAAATGACCATGTCCTAGACCTAGGTCAGGGAGAGCCTGAGCTTGGCTCTGGTGTGCAGTGGATTCCAAGACACAACAGCTGTCAGCTGGCTGCTTCTCACAGGAGGGCCTCTTGAGGGGAGGTTTGAGTGATGGGCCTCCATGGCTGCCAAGGGTCGTTTCTAGTTTTTGGCTGCTAAGATAAGGTGCACATCAGTACCTTCTTGCACAAGTCTTCTTTGTGGACGTAGGCACTCAGTTCTTCTGGGCATACTCAGGATGGGATTTCTGGGTCATAGAATAGGTGTGTAATGTTCTTAAAAACTGTCAAACAGATTTCCAAAATGCTTGTGCCATTTCACCTCCAGTAAGCAGGGTGAGAGAGTCCTGATGGCTCCGCATCCTCATCCAGACTGGTATTGTTATTTGTTATTAGTTTCCTTTGTAACAAATCACCACAAACTTGGTGGCTTAAAGCAACACAAATTTCTTAGCTTACGGCTCTGTATGTTAGAAGCCCAGTGTGGCTGAAATCAATGTCAGCAGAGCCTTCCTTTCTGGAGGCTCTATGGATAAATCCATTCCCGTGCCTTTTCCAGCTCTTAGGGGCCACCCACATTGGCTTGTGGCCCGTTCCTCCATCTTCTGACAGCAGCAATGCATACCTGGCCATTCTTCCACAGTCACATGTCCCTCTGACCGCAGCCCTGATGGGTTCTCTGATTTTAAGGACTGTGTGATTAAGTTGAGCACACTAGATTATCCAGGAGAATCTTCTTGTCTTCAGGTCCTTTAATCATGTCTGCAGAGCCCCTTTTGCCACATAAGGTGACATATTCACAGTTCTTGGGGGAATAGGATGGGGACATCTTTGGGGGCCATTATTCTGCTCACTACCTTGTCTTTTAAATTTTAGCCATTCACATGGGTGTATATCTCACTGAAGTTTTAATTTGCATTTCCCTGTGACTGTCGTCTCATGTACTTATTGGCTATTCATATTTCTTTTGTGAAGACTGAATCTTTTGTCTGTTAAAAAAAAAATTGGGTTTTCTTATTGAGTTCTTTATATATTCTGGATTCAATTTCCTTTGTCAGATATATATATTTTGAGTATTTTCTCTCAATCTGTGGCTTGCTTTCATTTTCTTAATGGTGCCTTTTGAAAGCAGAAGTTTTAATTTTGATGAGCTGCAGCTTATCATTTGTTTTCTTTTATATTTAAAGCTTTTCATGTCCTGTCCAAGAAATCTCTGCCTACCCCAAGGTTGCAAAGGCTTTCTCCTCTTTTTCCTTTGGAAATTTTATAGTTTTAGATTTTACATTTAAGTCTATGATCTAACTTGAGTTATTTGTGTATTAAGTGAGGATAGCGATTGAGAGTCATTTTTATTTTTTTAGATTCTCGATATTCAATTGTTACCACACCATTTGTTGAAAGACTCTTCTTTCCCTTATTAAATTTCCTTGGCATCTTTGTCAAAAATCAATCAGCCATGAATGGATAAACAAAATTCACTGTATTCATTCAGTGGACTATTACTCAGCTACAAAAAGGTAGGAAGTTTGACACATGCTACAACACAGATGAACTTTGAAAAAATTATGCTAAGTGAAGAAAGGCACATTCAAAAGGCCACATATTGTATAATACTGTTTATATGAAATGTCCAGAATAGGCAAGTCCATTTAGAGACAAAGTCAGGGGCTGGGGAAGGGGTGGTGTGGGGAATAGAAAGTGATTGCTTAATGAGTACAGGGTTTCTCTCTGTGGTGATGAGAAAGTTCTGGAACTAGATGGTGGTGATAGTTGCACAACATTGTAAGTGTACTAAAAGCCACCAAATTGTACACTTTAAAATAGTTAAGGAGAGAGAATGACGTCAGCATCATGGTAGAGTGGTCTCTTCCCTTAGACTGGCCCCCCTCAGATACAGTGAAAAGGACATTCATACAACACAGTAGACGTCTGAGAGACCTACGCAGCTATACGTGTGAAGGTGGAGGTGCTGGACCCCCGGGGAGGAAGTGGAAGGAGGTGAGGGGATCTCCTCTCCCTCTGTGGCAGTGACCCAGGGTACAGGACCACGTGCTGCTCTGAGAAGAGAGGGGGGAGGGGTGGCTCTCTGTGGGAACACCTTCATTTTCTGAGTTGCCTCCTGGCCATGAAAAGCCTCACACAGAGGAGGCCAGGCAATTGCAGGGGTGTTTTCATCAAGCCTGTACCCCAGGAGGGCAGATAGTGAGAATGCCCCCAGGATGCACACACGAAGGGAAGCACCCCTCCCACTGTCCAGCACACTGACCAGCTTGGCTGCTAGGTCAGAGCAAAGGACCCCCACCAGAGCGCATGCACATTCATTTTGTAAAGCAGCAGCAGTAAGTCGACAATCACAGATGTGCCCTGTCAGCATAGATTCCAAAGGACAGACACAGATGCCAGGGATCTCCGCAGGCTCAGAATACACAGCTCTTGCCGACCCTCCTGCAGCGGCAGGTGGAATCTGCAGCCAGATACTTCCACTATGTGAAGGCATAAGTCCATGCCATCAAACAGTATGAAGAAATATATTAATACTCAAGAGCAGAAGGAAAATGACAAGCACCCAGAAATCAATCCTGAAGGTGCAGAAATTTACAATCTAAATGGCAGAGAATTCAAAATAGCTATCATAAAAAAACAATGAATTACAAGAACATTCAGAAAGGCAGTTCAATGAAATCAGGAACAAAATTAATGAACAGAGGGAATTCTTCACAAAAGGGATTGGAACTATAAAGAAAAACCAATCAGAAATGTTGGAGATGAAAAACTCAATGAATGGCATAAAAATCTGGAGTCCTTGAATAACAGAGCTGATGTTATGGAAGACAGAATTAGCAGCTTGGAGGACAGAAATATAGAAATGATTCACATGGAGAAGGAGAGAGAACAAAGATTAAAAAGCAATGAAGAAATTCTCCAAGAAATATCTGACTTAATTAGGAAATGCAACGTAAGGATTATAGGTTTTCCAGAGGGAGAAGGAAGGGAGAAAGGAGCAGAAAGCTTCAAAGAAATAATATCTGAGAACTTCCCAAACCTGGGGAAGGAGCTGGGATTGCAAGTAAAAGAAGCTAAAATAACTCCTAATTTTATCAGTGCAAGAAGACTTTCTCCAAGGTAAGTGTCAGTAAAACTGGCAAAAGTCAGTGACAAAGAAACCTCTGTTAGGCTGTCAGCGGATTTCTCAGCAGAAACCTTACAGGCTAGCAGAGAGTGGAATGATATATTCAAGATTCTGCTAGATAAAACCTTTCAGCCAAGAATACTCTATCCAGCAAAATTATCCTTCAGATATGATGGAGGAATAGAAACTTTGCCAGATAAACAAAAGCTGAGGGGGTTCATTGCT